ACATTAATATTTCCAAAAACATAAGTTGTACAGGCACCAAAGGTCATAGCCATCATTTGGCACAGGAGCTTTACAAATACTGTATTAATTACAATGGCAGCTCTAGGACAAAGTATGCAGGAGGAGAAGCATGCCAAAGTGGAGATTACTTGGATGAGAAATGAATCACAATAGTGTGCATTGCATTGGCAATGCACACTGACAAGTCTGTATTTTGTTGTGCCATACATGTGAACCTCTTCGTACATTTACCTGTATAAAAAGCCTCAAATATCCACAAATTTTGCAAAAAATCCATACAACTTGCACTCAGGGGGGGGGGGGGTGACAAATAAACCTAAGTTTACCATAGTACCTTTCACTGTCAAACTTGTTTTTAGGGGTTCAAATTGGGGTGGTTGGGACATAGTTCGGTGGGGGTTGCGCTTCGACTCGCCTAGGGCACCAAAATGGCTAGAGCCAGCACTGCTTTTAATAATGTTTCTGTATTTATTACAGATTTAGTCAGTCRTACACTTAGTTCTTATCAGTGTTTAAAAGAGGACGTGTTAAAACTCTGTTTAGTCAAAGTTAAACATGAAACATCAAAGTTCAATACGAGCGGCCCTTCGACGCTCACGTGGCCCTCGGTGAAAATGAGTTTGACACCCCTGATCTAGAGGTTCAAAGAAAAGTTTAGACTCTCTTTCCTTTATACTTTACTGAAACACAAAACCATAATGTACGGTATTTTATGCAATCTACCACTTCAAACGTTAGTCACAAACAACCCACAGAGACAATAAAAGGCAGTCGTTTTGAGACAATTGCATTAAAGCGGACTCCGTTTCTCAGCATGAAGCTTTGTGACACACACCGCAATTTGATTATGATCTGTAAAGCTGCCGCGCTGCGCGAGCTTTACTTCTTTCTGATGTAAATATCACATTTTCAAATCACACCACTGACACGGAGTCCGCACAGCCGCRGCGAGTAAAGTGTCGACAGAGTTCTGCCGGCGTCAGATTATTGAGAAATGTGAAGTGAAACGAGGAATTCCACCGGCCATGTGACTTTGATCCAGGATCAGCAGTTAACAGCTGGAACAGTGATTCCAAAAGTTAAAACCGTATAAGGAGCTTGTTCTGGTTCTTAGTTCAATTAAAAGTTACTGTGTGAACATAAACGGCTGACTGTGACGTGCATTTTAACCCATTCACCTACAAACTCAAACTCCAAACTTAAAACSTACTCTTTGCAATGTCATGAAGACTGGACAACACAAATCATAGAACTAAATCATGATATATTTCTCTCATTTATGGTTAATGTGTGCTTAAATTTACAACTTATAAGAAAAACGTGACCAAATGTCAGCAACCACCTGTTTGTTTACTTACAGAAACATCTAACATGACAAAACACAGATCAAAAGTTAAACTTATCGGCCACATCTGCGTACCTAAACAGACTACAGCCCGTTGACAAATTCAGCCTGTTTACGTTGGCTGTGGACCCGCATTTAAGACAAACACATCAACACATCTGCAAAACTCCTGGAGTAAACTCTTTCAAACTGAACCGTTCAGTATAGATCAGGACAACCCCCCTGTTCTTTATGTCTGATTACAAGGATGATAATCTGTCCGAGTTACTTACGACAGTTCTCCTCATCGCTGCTGTCAGCACAGTCGTCATCATCGTCACAAATCCAAAGAGTTGGGATGCACCGGCCGTTGTTGCACCGAAACTGTCCAGCCTCGCACTCGGACCCGGCGTGGGTTCCTGTGGTGGCAGAAAACAACAATCAGACAGGGAATTTATGGCTCACTTAGTAGCCGAAACGTAGATTAGCCATGTGTGCTGGATGCATCTCAGTAATCCAGAGTGAAAACTCAAAACAAGACAATAAACAAACTGGTTTCTACACTTTGACAGTTTCACTACAAAAGTGCACACAGTTTCAGAATGAATGGAAACAGAACTTCAGGAGGTTCACTTTTTTACAAACCACTCTGCATGTTTCTGTTATAATCTGCCAACCCAAGACACTGTTGTTGTGAAATGACTGCATCACAACCTGCTCATAAACCCTGTTGTTTCAGTTCTACCATTAATGCAGTGCTGCCACTTCAACCCTCTGTTTGGGCTGTTTTTTCTGTAATTAAACTGCAGCAGAAATAAAAA